TAGTCCAAAACAGATATTTCTAAACAGATATACAATCTTTATAACAGATAATTTATCAAATTTTTATAAGTGTGTGATTTAGCAAATCCAACTACACTACTCCTTCAGACATCTTTCCAATTTCACATTTCTCATATAAATTTCATTATTTATACAAAATAAATATTTAACACAAATTAGGGCAATATTTTCCCTTTTTAAAATATCAATCCCAAGGCCAAAGTTCATTATTTTAACACTAGAGGACCCTACACACAAGGTCCCATAGTCATTTTATAAACCAACATGGAAAACCCCTCTTTAAATTTTGAATTTTAAACCCTAACTTTACCCAAATCCTTCCAAATTTCACCATTTATACAAAATGACAAATACCTAGGTTAAAAACCATATCAAGGTGTAGAATATCCCTACTTCAAGTGTAAAAGCTCAAAGGAGAAGAATGAGATCTTCAAAAGTACACAAAACCAAGCTTTGTTCGAATGGAATGGAAGCCCGCAAGATGCTCCACCTTTTTCTCAAAGGAAGTAGGGTAGTGGTGCTTGGATCAAAGAGTATTTGTAGAGAGAAAGAGTGAAGAGTGTTTTAAAGAGAGCGGGTGCCGAATTAGGGTTTTTTGCAAAAAGATGATCATAAAAATGATATGAATCTTCTTTACTGCGAACTGATATACGCGACCTTCGCTCGAGTGAAGAAGTTGTCGCTTGAGCAACCATACATAACAAGTGACCTCGCTCGAGCGCAAGAAGCGTCGCTTGAGCGCAAAATGCACAGTTTCAGAAGTTTTACAGACGCACATGCTCCCTCGAGCGCAAGAAGCCTCGCTCGAGCGAAGAACTTTACCTTCCCAGAAATTCTACGTCTGGGAAACAAACCTGAGGACTCTCAAAGCTCGCTCGAGTGCAAGAAACCTCGCTCGAGCGATGAAGCAAATTTCACAAGGTTCGCTTGAGCGTAAGAAGCCTCGCTCGAGCGCAAGAAACCTCGCTCGAGCGAAGAAGCAAATTTCACAAGGCTCGCTTAAGCGCAAGAAGCCTCGCTCGAGCGAAGAAGCCAAAATCTAGGCAACAGCAATCTAAACCAACTAACAACTAACCTGTCCCAAACACGCTCTACATATTCCAAAGCTCAAATTCAAAGAGTTAAAGGAGGAAAACAAGATATGGATACATTATTCAACCACGGAACTTGAGTCTGGAACATAACAAGGGTCAGGTCAAACCGGAATCGCTATACGTCTCATTTTACTTGCAACTCTTTGGGAGAGAGAATGAGAGACTTAGCTGTCTCAAGGAGATGACGGTGTTTACGCTCAGCTCGAACATTTTGGGTAGGTGTATTAGTACAAGAAGTTTGGTGAATGGTACCTAATTTGTCCAAATATTCACAAAATTCAGTTTTAAAGTATTCCCCGCCCAAGTCAGACCGCAATAATTTAATAGTAGACCCAAACTGTGTAGTGACCATAGACTGGAGAGTACGGTATATCTGGTAGAAGTCAAACTTATGAGTCATAAGATAAATCCAAATGTAACGGGTGAAGACATCAACAAATAACACATAGTATGCAGAACCCCCTTTGGTGAGAGTAGGAGAAGGGCCCTAAACATCAATATGAACTAAAGAAAATAGTGTATCAGATATAGAAGTATTTTTACGAAATGGTTGGGGTATATTTATCATAAAATAAATATGATGGGTTTTGAACAGTTTCTGCATATAATGCAAAAGTATTTAATTGATCACATTAAACAGTTTTTGCTTTTGATTAAACAAAATGGGCTGGTGAATGCATGTGTGTATTGTTTTACATTGTGTGACTCAACTTACCACTTACCATCCATTTTACCACCTAGTATTGTACTTACCATTTTTTATTTGCTTTTCCTTAATTAATTTGTTTATGCTTGAAAAATCTAGAAATCTTCTAGATGTTGATTTGTGATTATGTATCAATTTTAAGCAGAATATAACAATCCCAATCAAACAATCAAGACAAAGAGACGCAACGATTTAACGTGGAAAAAACCACAATTGAACACCTCCAACTGTGATCTAAAAACCACGGGCAACAGCCACAAGAACAATCCACTAAGAAGATTTAAAGGAATTACACAGGTATACTCTCAATTACCTAGCGAATCCACAACGCCTAATTGAACCAACCTCTATGTGCCTCTTCCAACCCCATCTTCACCACGGAATTGTCTTTCTGATGAGCCACTCCGGATTCCACCAAAGCTTCAGGCACGAATTCTTCAGAATCCACAACTGAAGAATAACTCTCTCTTTTGAGTATAACAAACAAACCTTTGATGTACTCTCTTTAAATCATGAGTTGAAGACTCAATAAAAACATCAAAGAAAACTCACAAAGTATCCCCAGATATAAACCCTAGAAACCAAAAAGAAGATCTGGAGAAGTTCCCCTAGTGTTGGGAGAAAACCAACTATTTATAGAAAACCAAAGCAATCCTAATTTCAGAAGAAAACCAACTCTTTAATCAAATCTGGAAATCTGGGATCGCGCGGTCCGCTCGAGCTCAACACAGCCCGCTCGAGCGGACTGACCAAAAACTTGCGTGCGAACAAACTGAGATGCGCTCGAGCATCAGTTGCAACAATAAATGCATGAGCTAGGAGGCTGTGAAGATGAAGAACATCATGATGATGGCATAGCAAGAGCAGAATCCATGGTTGGAGTTTTGAACATCCCAAAACAAGTTTTTTTTGACAAGAGTTTGGTAATGGCTTGCTCCAAAGTCGGTTCGGGCAGACGATGGAGCAAGGAAGCACACATAGGTTCAAAGGTGCTATGCCGCGAGCTGACCGGGCAGCTCGACCCCCGTAATAATCAGCGAAGTGGCAATCTTGAAAGCATTAACATCACAAACTTCTCTGCATGGTTCGATTCGGGTTTGGATTCGTATCTAATAAACTCATAGCCTCACTGAAATAAAAAGTGCGAAAATAAATACATCTGAAAGGAGTTTTGTCAAACGGGGTTGCCAAGAATAAAAACTTAACAATGCTTATTGCAGATGGAAGACAACACCAAGCAAAACAAGAATAACATGATATATGAACTAGATGATGATGACGGTAATGATGGTGAGTATAATATTCATAATGAAGATGATATCATCAATTCTAATGAAATTCCAACTGAAAGAGATATTATGCGTCTAGATGAATTAACTGAAAATGATGTGGTTGAAATGACATTTGAATGGTCAACAGTCATATGTATTAGTGTCATGATCAATCATTTTTGGTAGTTACATGTGAATTATATGAGTCTCATTCAGCACTAAGTGGGGTTTAATTGAGTTGCAAATGAGATTTATTTAAATGGTAAGTGGAGGGTCATTAACTAGTAAGTATGGATTAATGAAATGGTAAGCAAAAAGTAATGAAGTAATAAGTGGAGTCTATTTGAATGGTAGTGAGTGAGGTTTATTTGAATGGTAAGTGAAGTGTAAAATAGTGGTAAGTGGAGTCTCATTGATTAGTAAGTATAATTGAATGAAATAGTAAGTCAAGAGTAATGAAGTATTATTTTAATCATTGTTCATAGTCACATGTGAATAGTCATATGTACTAGTGTCATGTTCAATCATTTGAATGGTTAATAGTCATATGTACTAATGTCATGATCAATCATTTTCAGTAGTCACATTTGAATTATATGAGTCTTATTCATCAGTAAGTAGGGTTAAGTCTAGTTGTAAGTGAGATTTATTTAAGTACAAGTGGAGTGTCATTAAGCCCAGTGCCAATCTGTCATTTACATAACTAATTAGAAGGAAAACATGCAATGCAAAATGCAAATAACAACATTGTATAAGGATGTATACCACTTTTTTCACTTGAGTTGGCCGAGTTCTACTTCTTCTTGATATATATGGATCAAGGATATATACCACTTGTTGTCGCATGTATACCACACGCATACACTAATGTTCACCTGCATCATTAATTGGAATGCACACCTATATTAAATCAATAATCATCACTATCATACTCATTAACATATTAAACAAAAATAATGTGAGATAATAAAGTGGAGTCTCATTAAGTAGTAAGTGGGGTTTAATTTAGTAATAAGTAGAGTTTCATTGAGTAGTAAGTGAATTATAATGAAATAGTAAGTGGAAGCTCATTGAGTAATAAGTGAAACCAAAATTGAGTAGATAATGGAGTCTACTAAAGTAGTAAGTAGAAGCTCATTAAGTAGTAAGTGAAACCAAAATTAAGTAGTAAGTGAAGTGTAATGAAATAGTAAGTGGAAACTCATTGAATAATAAGTAAAGTCTAGTGAAATAGTAAGTGGAAGTTCGTTGAGTAGTAAGTAGAGTATAGTGAAATAGCAAGTGGAGTATAGGGAAATAGCAAGTGCAAACTTATTGAGTAGTAAGTAAAACCAAAATTGAGTAATAAGTAGAAATTTGAAAAATATGTAAGAAATGACTACATATTTAGTAGTAAGTGAAATTTGATGGAGTAATAAGTGAAATTTGATTGAGTAGCCAAAATGAAAAATATGTATATATATTTTTGGCAGATTTATTTTTTAAGTGAGGTTTATTTCAGTCATAGACAAGTCTAATGGTAGCAAGTGAGGTTTATTTGAATGGTAAGTGAAGCGTAAAAAAATGACAAATGGAGTCTCATATAATACAAACCAGCAAAATATATGAAAATACATGAAAATACATCAATAAAGGAGACATATGAAAATACATCAATAAAGGAGAGGATAGTGCAAACAACATCAAAATATAACTTCACAATCCCAATTAAATTGACACTGCAAAGCATCCCAATTATATGGTAGCACAAACCTCACAAGTTGGTGAGAAACCAACAAAGAAAATGAAAAACAAACAAACAAACCAAGGCTATACAATACAAACCAGCAAAGCCAACTCAAGTACTCAATCCACCTAGCTAAGCTAGAAAATCACCCACATAAAAAAACCCCCCAAAAAAAAAAAAAAAAAAAAGAGCAGCTAGTATCACCCCATAAAAATCCAACACTCGATCACTTCTAGTTGAATGGTTCCTTCAACACAACCAAATGCTCCTCACTAGATCATAGAGCAAGCAAAAGCAACCATAATTCCAGCCCATCTCAACTGCAAACATTAAGGCACTAATAATTCAGAGCAGAGCAAAAGATAATTTGCATAAGACAAACCAAAAAGCAGAGCAAAATCACAAAGGAGAGCAAAAAAAAAATTTGCAAAATTCATCTCCTCCTACTGAATCATTCAAAAATTAATCGTAAGGCACCTTAGTTGAGCACATCCATCCCAATTCACCGCAGCAAATCACAATAGCAGATAGCAAACCAAACTGATAGCAAACAGATAACAAGTGCCATTCTTCAAATCTAAGTGGCAAGTGCCAAGTGCCATTCTTCAAATGCCAAGTACCCCATAGCAATTACTTTGTTGTGGAAGCCATTCAAGTGTCTAATTGGAAAGTCGGTGATTTTAGTTGCATTTCGCATCTAGTGTACTATCCTTTTGCTTTAATGTAAATTGCAAGGCAGCTAAAGTGATTGAGGAAAAAAAAAATCCCACCTCCAATCACATACCAAAAACCCAAAAAAATACCATACAAAAACACATTGAGGAATAAAAATATATTAATATAAATCCAATCAATATCAATATATTATTAGATCATAAGAACGACTAAAGTCTCCATACAGAAATATATACCTTTCAAACCCTTTATGTAGACTTGTTGCTCTCAGTTGAGGTTGATCTCTTCCTAGCTCAAACCCTCTTCACACGTCACCAAAATCAGATAAATTTGCAACAACTTAACAATAGGAGGGAAGAAAAAAAAAATTAATGGATGCTAGAGTTCTTCATAATGTGTAATATGAATTTACAGAATATGGGTTTGGGTTGGTTTTGGGTGATGCATCATTTTGTTCTTATTGTAGAAACATATTTGAGAGGGAAATGGGGAAATGTGAGGTTTATTAGAAATGCAGAGAAACCCAAAACTCAAAAGCCACAAAATTCATGAAATTTACCATATCAAAGATTTTCTAAAAATCAGAAGAAAAAAAAATCAATATATATATATATATATTTATATATATGATTTTCTAAGATAACTATTTAAAAACGCCTCCAAGACGATGTCTCAGAAATTCAAAATCCATAACTCCGATTCTTCCCCTGTCAACAAATACAAATTCCTCCAATGCTGTATGCCTCTTCAAAACCCTTGAATCTATATATATATATATATATATACATGAGAAAATCAAGGGGTAAAAAAACTGACCCAATGAGATTGACTCTGAGATTGGCTTTGAGCTGAACAAAGAGGACGTAAAGCTGGCCTAGATCAGCGGCATTGCCATGAAAGTAGAGAATGGTGGGCGAGCGCAAGGGTTTTTGAGATAGAAATCAACGATTTTATTCCCAGATTTGCCCTAACCTTGTGGTTGATGAATTTGAGTTCAAAGAGCAGAATAGAACACAGTAGATAAATGGATGGGTCTACTGTAGAGAGAGAAATAGACAGAACACAATAGAGAGACAAAGAGTTGTGTGCTGAGAGCAAGGATCCCCCCTTTACTCCCTATTTGATGGGCGATTGAGTCTACTTTTTGACCCAATTTCGATGATTCGAACTGTTCAATCTTAGAATTTGTCATGTATATTATACCTGTAAAAAATCAAATTGATCGAATATTAGAAGAATTAAAAATCATTTATTAAAAAAATTTAATAAACAGTTTTATTGTTTAATAATTTTTTTAGTTCATGTGGTTTTTGATATCTGATCTACTTGATTTTTTACAGGTGTAATATATATGACAAATTCTAAAATGTGAATGGTTCGGATCATCGACATTGAGTCCAAAAGTAAACCCAATAACCTATCAAATAGGGAGTTAAGGAGGGGAGCTAGGGAGGGATCCTTGCTCGTGTGGTGACTAGCTCAACCAGTTTATTTTTTCTATTTTTTCAATGGTTCAGATTAAAGATTCCATCCAAAGGCTAAAATTCATTTTTATGTATGGTACCAAATACCACTTTTGGGTACTATAGTCGAACCCAGTTGAGAAAGGTAATTTAGCAAGGGTATTATGGTCTACATCCATAATAGGAATTTTTAATAAATCACAAACACACCTACCACGTTTGTTAAAAATACATTTTATATTTTGTTAATTTGACTTAATAATTGATTAATAAAAGAGTTAAGGTATAATTTTCAAATATAAAAGGAAAATTTGCACTTTTAATAAATATATTTATAACTTGTACAAAAACAACTTTATTAATGATTCTAGGTTTTAAATGTCAATGATATGATAGTTGTCCTTTTGTGGGAAGCCATTTATAACCTAACCAAGCCAAACAAAGACTTAAGTCCCATTAAATGGGGTCGGTTACATAAATTCTTCTTCTCTAAGCGGCCCTATCAAAGGCCATTTCGTTAGTCAAATTAAGTAGATTCATATCTTTATTTACAACGCTAATCAACGTTAATTTAGGCCTATCCCGTTCCCTAACACTTCCATCTACCGTTACTGCATCGTATCTTTTCACTACTGTCTCTGTTGGTCTCCGTTGAATATGACACAACCATCTCAATCGACTTTCTCTCAACTTATCTTCTATCGGTGCTACTCCTACTCATTCCTGAATACACTCATTTCTAATTCTGTCTTATCTAGTCTTGCCACACATCCATCTTAATATTCTCATCTCAGTCACACTCATCTTATCTACATGTTTCTTGGTTGCCTAACATTTCATCCTATATAACATCGCTAGTCTAATAGCCGTTTGAGATCTATTTATTAAGATGTAATTTTTAAATATAAGAGGAAAATCTGTACTTTTAATAAATATATTTATAACTTGCCCAAAAATAAATCTGTTAATGATTCTAGGCTTTAAATGTTAATGATATGAAAATTGTGCTTTTGTGGGTAGTCATTTACAGCCTTATTCATTTCTTTGTTTAAGGCCTATTTATTAAGATGTAATTTTTAAATATAAGAGGAAATCTATACTTTTAATAAATATATTTATAACTTGCCCAAAAATAAATCTATTAATGATTCTAGGCTTTAAATGTTAATGATATGAAAATTGTCCTTTTATGGAAGTCATTTACAGCCTCTATCAAACAATTCCTTTCTTTGTTTGAGGCCCATGTCGGAGATATTAACTAGAGGTGGTGAAAAGACAAACTTACCCTTTTATGTGGGACATTCATTTGGATTCGATCTTGTCTTTTTATTTTTGTAAATAAATGAAAATGTATACAAAAATATTGATCTTTTTAATGTATTTTCTTAGCTAAATTCGTAGTGACAAAGCTCCAACTTCTCTTCAGGAGAGAATATTTAACTGTTGAGTTTGATTCTTGTAAATTTACTGTAACATTGACTCATTTTGATGATTAAATAAATAAATATATTTTTTAAACCCTTATTTGTAAATCATTCATGATCTAATTAATAATAATCACATATCTTTATTACATTCGTCTTTTAGAAACAAAAAAAATTAGCCTTCTACTTTTGTAAAAATTATTCTTGTTATGTGATGAAATCGTGAGTATGATTGTCAAATTAGTTTTGTGTGTGTGTGAGAGAGAGATCTCTTTCCACAAAAGTTTAAAACTAGACAAATTAAATTATCAATAGTAGTACACGTGACCTAATATTTTCCCCCACTAAAGGAAAAAATTAAGACTCAAATGAATTGGCTTTTCCTATAAGATTCGCAACTTCCTTAGAACTCTTGTTGCTACATTTGGATAAGCATAATTATATTTTTTCGTTTTTTTTTTCTCTTCTTGTGAGGATGAACATAATTATTTGAAGAAGTTTTTTAAGACCTCGTTTGAGAATATGTTATTTTAGTAATTTTTTGACTTTTTATCTAAAATATGAGATAAAAAAAATTAGTATATTTAGAATGACTTTTTAATTTTTTACGAAAAGCTGTGTAAAAAGTAGAGAGAAAATATAATCTTTGTTTTTGGTATAAGTTGTTGGCTTTTTAATTTTTTTAGTGACTTTTTAACTTTTGGGTTAAACAATGATGTTGCCAAGCGAGGCTTAAGTCATGACGTTGACATGCTTTTTTGTATGCAATTTTAGTTACCACAATGTAAAATTTGATTTTCCATTATATACTCTATGTGTTAATATATTTTTGTTTTATTTCTTGTAAAATTTCCATTCATATTTCTAGGTTTTAAATTTGGTGTTGACGTGAAAAAAATATCTTTGTAACAATGCCCTTTATATTTATCCCAAATTTGTGAGTAGCTTACTATTTTGCTGGCGTTAAGATCCTCTAGAGTGTATTCTCTAGAGTGATCTCTAGCTTACTATTTGTGAGTAGCTTACTATTTATCCCAAATTTTTCACACAATTTGACTATAAATAAAATTTCTATATTATTTTGTCTTACTGTTATTTTATCTGACTGATTTATTCTTTGATAGCAACTGATTCCTTTTGGGTTATTATGAAAGTCTCCTGCTTGTTTTAAAATAATCTGGTAGTCCCTATTAGCATTTTTATCACTACTCATAAACTGAGATCTTATTAGTTGTTCTAAAATTTCTAATTTCTGTTTTAAATTATCTTGAATTTGGTTGATTTATTATATTTGTTTAGCTATTTGATTTATCTGACTATGAATTTTTTCAATTAATTGCTTAAATTCTAACTTTATTTGCTTTGAGCTGCTAGTATTTATAGCTGAAATTAGAGTTTCTATTTCTAACTTAGTGGGAAATTTTTATAAATTTAAATCTATTCGTTTTTGTAGGATAGAACTACAATGATCTTGAATATAATCTAATTTTTTATTTTGATCCTTAATTATACTGCGAGTATTACGAAGATGGTCTATAGATGAAGTAAAGAGATTACTAATTTTATCTACGTCCTTTTTAATATTTTCTGCAAAATTAATCTGATAATCTATAATACTATTTAACTGAGGATTATGTTCACTATGGAACTGATGTGTAAAAGTACCTTCAAAATTACAACGGAATTTATTTTTATCTATATTAAGACGATGGTCATGATTGCTGAGTTCTAAATCTAAATATTCTACTCTTTTCATATACAAAATTAAATCCTACTTTAAAATTATTAAAAGCTACTATAATATGAAATTTATAACTAAATTGTCCAAAAATAAAAAATACTCTATTTCTATAAGCAAAATGCATAAACTAACTTAAACTGTCCTAAAACTGAACACTGCTCTGATACCAATTTTGGGTTGGGGTCAGTTAGTGGTTTACTACTATTTTGAAATTGGGCTGAGAATTATCTACTTAATTCTACAGTTATGCTAATAAGTCTTTAAGCTGTTGTATAGCTAACTGTAAAGCTTCTTGTTTCACAGTTATCTGTCTATTTATTTGAGAAATTTTCAAACTATAATTTTCTAGAGATCTGCCAAAAGTTAACGATAATAGAAATTGATATCTTAATTTTTGATCTTCTAATTCTTGTATAAGCTCAGTACTGGTTCTGATTTTAATCCGAAGTTCTTCTTCTAAAGTCATAAAATTTTGATTTTTAAATTTCTTTTGTGGACAATCTTTCTTTAATATTTCTACTCGGATTGCTCTCCTTGTATTCTAAAATTCTTTTTCTTTGGCAAAACTATTTTTAGGTAATGTTTGTTTTCATTACATGTACTTCCCACCTTAAAGCTAAGCCTCGTTCAATATAGTATATTTTTATTTTCTATTTTTTACATTTCCCTTTCTGCCTATAATTTGCCCTCAAACGCCTAACCACGGCTCACACGGACTCTTCAGCTAAGGTCACTCAATAATAAAATAGAAAATAACAGATACTACGAAGGTGCAAAGCATGTAATATTAATGAGCAAACAAGCATTCCATAGACTTAGTTTTTTCACCAAAAAAAAAAAAATTTAAAATAGAAGAGTTACTTTTTTGAAATATTTAAGGAAAAAGAGAGACTACTCACACTTCATATTAATATGTAATATACTTACAAAGATTATGTTACAGACTTTGAGTTTCTGAAAGACTTGGAACACTTAGAATTTTTGAGAGGGGTTGGAATTTTTTGTGAAGTAGAGTGAAGGAAAATTTTTCATTGCTTCTTTCGTTGGCATAAATGCCAATTTAAACAATACAAAAGGAAGATAAAAACAAAAACTCAAAACCTAGACTTAATGCCTTACGTCCCAACTTTTCCTAAAAGTCTAAGACCTATTCAAGCCTAGACATAGGCTTTTTCAAAATCTATCTTTAAGTAATAAAGGCAAAGACTATGTGTACAATTATATGCTTATTTTGACAAACTTTCTACGTAGATAAAAACAAGTAGAAGGTTTGGATAATGATGCCGGGTATTGCTTTGGGCCCCATCGTACATCATTCAATTCTCCATTTTGATAAAATTTTGACAATATAATTTATTACAGGACACGCGTAAGAATTCTCATAACTTTTTTTTAATGAAGCAGGGTAGGGGTCATCTGCTTTATTAAAGTAATGAGTGAATGAGAAGCCTTATCACTGACAGACACAAATAATTACAGACATAAATATTTACAAGAGCTATTTGTCGTTTTTTGAATACTTTTCTCTGATCGTTGAAGATAGGCTTTTTCTTCTGCAAATTTTTGTCATTTTCTTCTGAGATGCCAATAATTGATGTTGACACTTGGATGATCAATCTTCATGGTGGATCCTTTGTAGAAAATTTACAAAATTTTAAAGAGTCAAAAATCTACAAAAAACTCTAATATTACATGAGTCTAATTATGTGGAGTGCCCCCTTTTTTTTTTTAACTATACATTCTATCTGAAAGATCGTCAAGATCTGCTACTGAAAGTTGGTTGTAAAAATCATTCCCTATAGCTGGTTCATTCCCCCATTAGTTATCTTGGTCATCTTCTCCTACAAGGATGAGGATCACCTCTAGAGCTGTTTAGATCTGCGAAATTTATCACGGATTTCGTTTTGATAATTTGAAACGTTTATTTTTATTGAGTATTTCGTGTATTTTATTCATAAAAAAAATTAACTTGACATGATAATTATAATTTATTTAATTTATTACGTTTGTCACTAAAAAATATATAATTTATTTTTAAAAACACAATCCTTATTTATTTATTTTAATGATAAATTAACTAAATTACACTTAAATTTTTTTAAAAATAAAAAATATATAAAATATTTAACAAAATAAATGATTTAAATTAGCGAATTGTGCTAGCACAAACACCGTCCTCTCATCCAATATCTGAACTGTTTCCTCCTCTCTTCAATATTTATTTACGAAACTGAATATAAAAAAAATCCTTTTTATTATATTTATTTCTGTACGAGATATGCTCTGACATTACAATAATAATTGTCAATTGGCGCTTTCTCAAACACTTCATTGAAAGCCATTTTTAACCCTTCTCAAATAAATTATTGACTTTCTATTAAAAAAATATATATATTTTAGAACAGAAGAAAAAAATTTACATACGTAACTCCAATATCAAAATCGGAAGAAAAATGATTCTGGGTTCATGAAAATGATCATTATACATTGATCGTCCCTTCCAGATTTTCTTTTGCCTCTATTAGCTCATAAATTTTTTCACAGATGGTGCAAGTAGAAGCCATTGCTGCTTCTCAGAAGCAGCTTCTACAAAAGCCAACTTGCGCTTGGATCAGATGGGTACAAAACCATCTTCTTCTTCTACTAGTTCTCTTGGCACAACCAGTCCTTGGTGGTCAGATTGTCAAGTATTTACCTGGTTTTGATGGTGAACTTCCCTTCAAACTTGAAACAGGGCAAGTCTTTTTCTTTTTTGGGTTTTTCCCCCAAATTTTTTTCAGTGATTTGTGGGTACAAATTAGTATTTTGTTTGAGTTGAAATCTGATGATGGGTTTGTTGTTGATTTTGACAGATATATCAGCGTTGATGATTCGGAGTTGTTCTATTATTTCATTGAATCAGAAGGGAACCCTCAAGAAGACCCACTTTTTCTTTGGCTCACTGGTGGACCTGGCTGCACTTCTTTTAGTGGACTCCTTTATGAAGTTGGTATATGTCTATATCTATAGACATAGCTATATATTTATCTTTTATGTTCTTCTTTATTTTTCAGTATCAGAATGAAAAAAATTGCTGCCTTGTTTAATCTTTAATATTTGGGTTGAGTTCACTCTCTTATCTTAGCTGAGATGGTCAGAGACTAAATTATTATTTTTCTGGGGATAATAATAATAATAATAATAATAATAATAATAATAATAATAATAATAATAATAATAAAAATAAAAACTAGGGTTTTACATAAATTTAAAATTAAAACTTGGGTTTTGAATTTTGCGAATTAAAGCCCAGTACTTTTCAAATTACATCAACAATAGAAGTTGGAAACCTTGTGTTGCATTTAATGGCATAACATACTACTATAATAAATTTGGTGCTCTATTTATTGGAAAAAAACCATTTTTTGTTGTAGAATGTTAAACGGACACCTGTGTATGCTAGGGGTTTAGGTTAGTTTGGCTGATTCTGATTGATCAATTTCTATATTTTAAATTTGAAATATGAACATAGTAGGCTGATTACAATTTAAAAATGAAAATTAGAATTGACCATGAATGCTAACAGTAATTGAGCATGAAAGCCAAATGAATTGAAAGATTCATGTTTGGTTTGCCAATATGGGCTCCAATGTTACATCAATATCAGCCGTTGTTCGGTAGACCAGTTAAAATTCCTGGGAGTTCCTTGTAAGGCTTGTTGGGAACCTGCTTCAGACTTAATTAATTGCTGGCCTTTTGTTGTTCAAAATGGATGTTTCAGTTTTATTTTTTATTTTTGCAAATTTTTACCATTTTAATTATTTGCTTAGTTTTTTACCCCGTTTCATTCTCTTCTGAAATCAGTCAAAGCATTTCTCTTACACATTACTAAACTTCACTTGCAATCATGGTTGTATTGTATGAATCATACGATTCATGAGAGTGACCAAAAGAGCTGATTCAGCAGTGTCCAGAGCCATCAAAATAATGAAAATTGCAGCTTGCTTAATTTTTTAAATTAATTTTTATGTAAGCTTTTTGAGTGGTCTTGGCATTTTTAGATAGCTTATGCAAACATCCCTCAATATGACATTGTATTGTATAGCATCCTAGCTTGACCCAGCTTGACCTTGTGTAACATATTTGGAAGGCTCTTAACTAATGAACTGATTGTCTGGCGGCATATCTCTGATGATGCAAGTTGCTCCTTGTGTGGTTATCATAGTGAAACAGTGGTTCATGCTTTAAGAGATTGTTCCCTTCCACAAACCATTTGGCAGCGATTGGTGCCAATTAACCTACATGAAAGATTTTTAGTCTCCCTTTAAAGAGTTGGATTGATGCTAATATGGGTGGGGAGCTGGGTGGTCTGGAAACTAAGGATCATTGGCAATCACTCTTTATGTGTGCTATAGCCTCTGTTTGGTTTTGGTGAAATAAACTGCGCCTCGATCCAGAGTTTGTTCCGCCTTCAAATCCAGTGATGGAAATCTATGGAAACATTGAGGAGGTTGAATTAGCACAACGGTTCTGTATTCAGAAACAGAGAAGGTGTGTTAGAGTGCAATGGCAGCCACCGATGGGCCATTCCATGAAGATAAATACCGAGGTCTTCAGTTGGCAATCCGGGTTGTGTGGACATTGGTGGGTTAATTCGAGACAGTCATGGGCTTTGGATTGGAGGATTCTCCAGAAGAATGGGATGGGCAAGTGCTATAGCTATGGAGCTGTGGGCCATAATGCAAGGCTGTTGTTAGCTTGGGAATGGGGTTTTCGATTGATTGTGTTGGAAACAGACTCTCTTGAGGCGGTGTCGCTGATACAACATCCAACTGAGGGACATGCAGAATACAACTTAGTGGCTCAAATCTGTCAAATTCTGGGGTGGAACTGGACGTGTCATATATTCCATGGGCCTCGTGAGGCAAATCAATGTGCAGTTTTTCTTGCTCATGAGACTCTTAAAGGATCCATGGAGCTTCAGATCTTTATGGAACCACCGATTTGAATTTGGCCGTTATTGGCTCTAGATGCTCCTGACTGGAGATTTCCTAGTTAGCTGTTGCTTTAATTTTTCCATTGCACCCAAAAAAAAAAAAAAAAAAAAAAAAGGTTTTACATTGCACTCTGAATTTTAGGAAACAAAGATTGGTTGCCAGTCATCCTGGGGTTGCACAAGTTTTTTGAGAAATGAAGATATTTTACACTGTTAGGAATGGCTTAGCAGGACAGATCCATCCTAAGTTTGGCAAGGATGGTGCTGATCCTTGCACTAACCCCTTAAATGTCTGTATCTTTTTAATCAACATTGGAAATTTTAAAGAACCAAACTAAACCAAATTAAACCTTGTGTCCCACTCAAGTGGGGTTAGCTTAAAGAATGCCCAATTTAGTCCTAGTTGATAGGATCTGGGGATGGGTAGATTGGGTACAGAAACTGTTGGGCATAATTTGGACAACCATTAAAATTAATAATCTTTTATGAATGATAGTATCTGAAGCCGTACAATTTATCCTAACATCCCTTTTTCACATGACGTAGATAAACTTATATGGCCTCATACAAGGTCAGGGCATACAATGTTAAATTGAAAGTGGGTACACGAGTTAGTTAAGCTTTTTTCTGAGTAGTCAAACTCAGTGGTTGGAACCTATGCTAAACCCGCCCCAGATTTGCAATCATGGTTTTCTTGAACCATTTTAAGTTTGGGTTTCACTCTTCACATCAAATTCTTAATTGTATTGTTGTATGTGATCTCTCAATCTTTGAACCTAATCGTTAATACTTGTATGCTCTTGAAACTAATCTGTTGCCACTTTTGATGCTTAAATGCAGTTGGTGGTTCCCTAAAGAGATAAAATGACTTCTCTTATAACTTGATGCTTTCATTTTCTTTGTGTAGGTCCAATGGAGTATGACATTGATAACTACACTGGAGGGTTACCAAAATTGAAATATTATCCATATGCAAGGACGAAGGTAAAAAAACCTTACATGCCTTGAATTGTTTTTATTATATGTATATTTTTTTGTTTCTGATTTCTTTTTTGGTAATTGTTATTTAAAATCGTGTTAAATTATGTAGACTGCTAGCATGATATTTCTTGATGCACCTGTTGGCACTGGTTTCTCTTATGCAAGAACCCCTGGAGGTTGGCCTACATCAGATACAAAATCAGCTGAACAGTCGTACCAGTTCCTCAGGAAGGTGAGTTAGAAAAAAAGAAAGAGCAATTTCATTACTATTACAGCAGACAAAACTTACAGAGGGATATAAACAATCAATTTGATCATGCAGACAACACTAGTCGTGAGAGATTGATTATGTATGGAGACGAGGGTTTTAATTTTTAAATATCAGCCGTTGTATCGGCCAATATGTATCGGAATTTTGTACTTCCAATATTGATATTTACCGATATATCAGCCGATACTATTTGACTTGGGCTGATATATGATTGTATTTCTAGTACCTACATATCTTGATCGTTGTTGTCAAATCGGGATACGGATTGTGTATCGTTTTTTAATTTTTAATCGCATATCGTATCGTATTGTGTATCGTAAATTGTTTTAATACCTTTAGAAATAGGTAAAAAAATAAGTGTAGTTATAAAAAACAAATATCTTATGATAATAAAATACTAAACAATATATAATTCGGTCAATTGCAAAAGCAAAGTTCCTTAAATTAAATATATACATGCAGCAATACATATTATCTTTATAAGGCATAAATTAATAACGCAAGATTCTTAATACGATACAATAGATATGTCGAAAAGGTAAAAGTAGCTTTTTTTTTTTTTAAAACAGGTTAATGAAAATTTTTGACAATATTAATTTACATAAAAATAATTTGAATTTTTTTTCTTCAAATTTTCTACAGAAATTTAAGTATTTATGTACCATACATATCGCATTATGTATGGCGTATTGTATATAACATCACATATTGCATACGTATCATAAGATGCATTTAATTTAAGATATGTATTGATGATAGTATCGATTTCCTTCTAAAAGGTATCGAATTGTAAGATACGTATCATGAATCGTAAGATATTGATCCTGATACCATTATTTAAAACCATTATGCAGATCTAGATCTGCATTATCTAATATCCTAAAAATCATCATGAACTACTGGGTTCCATTCTATCACAACTGTGTGGCTATGACCACTGCCACGGCCACTTTGGAAATTTTGTCAAAACTTTCTAGCCATGTCATGGAAGATTTGTTTGTTAATTAACTTTATTTTTCTCAACATGATGCAGTGGTTGGTCGAACACCCACAATTTCTCTCCGTTCAACTATTTGTTGGCGGTGATTCTTATGCAGGCCTTACTGTCCCATTGATCACTAAAAAGATAATAGATGGTATTTCAATTTCATGACTACTAATTCTACTTTGTTCAGTAAAAGCAATCTCTCTTCGAATTCTAGCTCACTCTTGGTGTTTGGTTTATGGACTTTCAGGTAACAAAGAAAAAGCCAAGCCATATATGAATATCAAAGTACATGACCTAATTAAAGACGTGGATTGCTTTTAGTTAGTCTTTTTGGCTATTGCAATTTATCATTGCATTATGTTTCTGAGTGATTCAAATCAATGGTCTTTGTAATGGTATCAGGGATACTTGGTTGGATGCCCAGGGACTGATTCAGTTATTGATGGGAACTCAAGAGTAGATTTTGCTCATAGAATGGCACTTATATCGGATGAGATCTATGAGGTAAATCAAAATCTTCCATTGTAATAAGTCACATTATATTTGTTACTTGATATGCATTGTTGGACCGATTTCCTATTAGCTTAAGCTTTTGGGACAATTGGTGACTTGACATGGTATTAGAGCTCTGGTTTTAGAAGATCCTGGGTTAAAGTCGTGTTGCCTCCATTATCTTTGTCATTGTGAACTCTGTTTTGTCTATCTTCGTGGATCTTGTTTGTCAATTTATTTGTCTATCCACGAGCAAGACGGGGTCACATGTGAGGTGGAGTGTTAGCTTGATACGCATTGTTGGGCCTATCGGCTTAATCTTTTGGGATAATTGGTAACTTAGTCTCGTTTGGGAACAGACTTTTTTAGTAACTTTTTGGCTTTTTGACTAAAATGTGATGTAAAAAAAACTAGTATGTTTAGGATGATTTTTTGGCTTTTTACGAAAAGATGTGCAAAAAGTAGAGAAAAAAGGGATAGATTCCCTTTTTGGTATGAGTTGTTGGCTTTTTGGTTTTTTTAGTAACTTTTTAGCTTTTTGGCTAAAAGGGACACTTGCCAAATGAAGCCTTAAGAATGTCTCCCTTTTTTCTTTCTTCCTTTCTTTCTTTCTTTCTTTTTTTTTTTTTTTTTTTTTTTCCTTTTTTTTTTTTTTTTTTTTTTTTTTTTTTTTTTTTTTCTGCCCTTTTTTTCTGTTTTTTGTGCTGTGGGTCAGTGAACTGGGGAAGGGGGGAGGGGAAGTGGATCTTCTCTGTTAAAAGGTATAAAGTGAAAATAGGGACTTTTACGTATGGGACACTTTACAAGCACTAATTTGTGGCCATATGAGGCATAATTGTATATAATCTACTATAATGTGAGAAGCTTACTATCTTTGCTTGTATATGTTCAAGCTAGTTCACACATGTTTATGATTTTGTGTTGTTAATCCTTCTTTGCTTATTTTTCCTTTAATATCTGTTGCCTCGAGTGATGCTTTTGCATGCAAAACAATTGCCATCTTTATCACTGAAAGTCAAATTTTAGCAAATAGAAAGTAATTGTAATGGTTAATATTATTCCTTTTACGAGGTTTGTTGTTATTCTTACCCTTGTGTTAATTGAAATGGTTTATGCTTTTCCAGAATGCGAAAAGAAGTTGCAATGAGAACTATATAAATGTAGATCCAGCAAATACGGCATGCATAACCGCTATGGGTGCTATACAAAAGGTTAGAGGCATTAAAGTACTTCTGACTTCTGGTACATAATGTATGTCCATCAAGTTCTGCAGGCTTAGAAGTTGAGACCTATTTGAATTTGTAGTGTCTGAAAGATCTGTCTGACAAAGATATTTTGAAACCCAAGTGCGATTTATCATCCCAAGATCATCCAGAAGGCCCAGACCGAAGATTTCTAAAAGAAGGTTCTTCAGAGTTCCTACTCTCGCCATCAACGTTTCCAAAACCTTGGTGCACTGTAATCTCTCTCTCTCTCTCTGTGATTACAGCTTGTTTATGAGATGTAAAGAGAGATGGGTGGCTAATTTTAGTTCTGTAACAGACTTTGAAGCTTACACACAATAGCATTTGGGCAAACGATGATGGTGTTCAAGAAGCATTACATGTTCGGAAGGTATGTATTGTAATGCATACAATAATGTCATAATGAATGTAAGCAAAATCTCACTGAACAGTCTCAGATATTGTAATGATGGAAATCAGGGAACTGTACCACGTTGGGAGAGATGCAACAACAGCTTATCATACACCCAAGATGTCTTGAGTGTTATTGCTGTTCATAAAGAACTAAGTAGATCATCCTTGGAAGTACTTGTAGAGAGGTCAGTATATACATGTGGCTTGTACATACCCTTCACTAAATTGATTTTTTTATTACGAGGAACCCCCTGACCCTACCTTCAGTGAGACCTGGGATAAAACCCCGGATATGTGAGACCACCCTGTTAGCCTCACATATTGTGCAACGTAGGGACACGAACCTAAGACCCCTTTGTGGGTTACTGTTGGAATTAGGAAATAGTGATATTATAATTATGGTAGTGTTGAAATTAGGAAATCATGATATTGTAATTATGGTAGTGTGTATAAAATCTGTGATTGTGTCAACCACAGGTTTAATATCTTTTTTTATCTTCGTTTCTTATTTTGTTCGTTTCCTATTTTGTAATATTGTTTCATTATAAATACAAGGCTCTACCTCATTCATAGGCAAGCCAAATAATTATTTTTATTCTTTTTGGTATTAGAGCCAAAACACAGAAACCCTAGACCACCCCCTTCTCCCTGTTGGCCCATATTCTTTACTGCCCAGCAGTTTCTTCATCTTCTTTCTTCTTCTTCCAGCAGCCAACAGGCCTTCTCTCCCCTCTAGACCACCCGACAACCTAACTCACCACTCCTAGACCACCCAAAACCACTTACCCACTCTCCTATACCCCTCGACAAGACTGTATTACACCTGCCGAGGGTCTTGCTGCTGCCAACCAGGTCTTATCTTGGCCTAGAGTACTTCGACCAGCTCTTCCCCTAGCCTAGATTGGTTCGACACCCTCTTGAGGGTGGTCTGAACCCTTGTTTTTCTCTTTTATAGGGTGTAGTGCTAATGCTTTTAAGCATTTTTCTGGACCTCTATGTTTCTTTTTTTTCTTTGTGGGCTATTTTGTTTATTCGGTAGCATTTAGCCGTTGAGTTTTTTTCGGCTTTTCTGGTTGTTTACTCGGACTGTGTTGCTGTATTGCTATCTATTTCAACCCTCATCATCTCCCCATGGATAACTTATCTTCTACCATTCCTATTGAGGTATCTATTGCGGTCTCCACCAAACATGTGCCTGTTCTAAGTACTGATTTTTCTCTTTCCCATCACACTCCTATTCATCATATTACAAGTGTGGTGTTGAATGGGAAATATTTTGCTGCTTGGAGCCATTTCCTTAAATTCTATCTTGGGGGAAAGGGAAAGGCCCATTGGCTTTTATGTACTATACACTAGCTGCGACAGACCTTACACGTGCTCAGTGGAATATCAATAACTGCACTATATTGGGATGGATGTTCAATTCCATGGAAGATCGGATTTATCATATGTTCCTTTATTGTGATACAGTTCCGAGTTGTGGCAGGCATTGTCACAGATGTACGATCATGCTCACAATGATGCATGTATCTTCGAGCTTCACCAAGATATAGCCCGGGCCTCTCAGTCCTCTCTTGGCCTTTTTATAGCTGAATTTTCTGGATATCTTCAGGCTCTTTGGGAGGAACTTGCTCAATATGAGTCTTTGACTAACCTTCCACCAGAAACCGCGCCTCTTGTGTCCAAGAGGCTTGCCCGACAGCACACTTATCAGTTTCTCATGGGTTTAGACTCTGAATTTGAATCTCTTCGAATTCAAATTCTAAACATATCACTCATGCCATCTCTTTATGAAGCTTTTGCCACTATTGACAGTGATGAGCGTCGCCGGCGATTGGTTCAGCCTAGTGTTCCTTCAATACCTCTAGTTTTAGTAGATCAGATGGCTCTTGTTGCAAGTTTTGGTTCTTGGAGTTCCAGCAGTTCTATTACTTGTCATCATTGTGGTGCGCCTGGACATGTCAAAGCTCGTTGCTTCAAACTTCATCCTGAGTTGGGGCAACGCCATTCCCGTCCTCATGGTCCTACTACATGTGGTTTTGGCTCTGCTCGTACTACTGCTTTGATGGAAGTTACTCCTGCTTTTGAGCCTCCTAATGTCCCTAATCTACAGCAGTTATAGACTCAGATTGGTCAGCTTCAGGCCCAACTTGGGTCTCTCACCATTGGTTCTCTTGGTCTATCATCTTCTACTGCCACCCTTGTTACAGGTACTTCTACTGCTTTCCATGTTCGGTTTGCTAGTCCTTTATGGATTTTGGATTCTGGGGCTAATGATCATATGACTGGTGAGTTTTCTTTTCTTTCCTCTCCTGCACTCACCATTGCTGCCTAATCTGTGTGTCTTGCTAATGGTTCTTGCTTTTCTGTCCAACATAAGGGTGTTGTGTCTTTAACCCCTGATATCACTTTATCTTCTGTGTTGCATGTTCCCAAATTTGCTTATAATCTCTTATCTGTTAATCGTCTTGCCAAAACTTTTATTTGCGCCGTCATCTTTTTACCTTCTTTGTGTCTTTTACAGGACCTGAGTTCGAAGAGGATTTTTGGCAGGGAATATGAGCGCGATGGGCTATACTACTTTGGGGATCCACTGGACCAGCCTTCTTTGACTTTCGCTAGTTTTCAGGCTTCTATTTTGCCTACTTTTATATTTTGTGTTTTTTCTGCTCAAACTTTAGAGTTATGGCACGCTCGTATGAGACATGTTAACTTTCAATATTTATGTCAACTTTTCCCGTTATTAAATAAAGATTGTAAAGATTCTAAATTTCATTGTGTTACTTGTGAGCTGTCTAAACATATCCGTACTAGTTATATATCACATATGACATGTGCCACTAGTGCTTTTGACCTTATTCATTCTGATGTTTGGGATCCCTCTTCGGTTCTTTCTTTTTCGGGTCATTGTTATTATGTGACTTTTATTGATTATCGCACTAGGTGCACTTGGGTCTATTTACTTCGTCACAAGTTTGATGTGTTTCCCATTTTTGTTCAGTTTGTGCAAATGGTTAAGACACAATTTTGTACCATTGTCAGGAACATTCGCTCTGACAATGGTGGGGAATACATCTTCAATGAGTTTCGTTCTCACCTTAATCGAATGGGTAATCTTTAACAACTTACATGTCCTTGGACCCCTGAACAAAATGGTGTGACTAAACGTAAAAATCGTTTTATTATGTCTGTCATGCGTTGTCTTCTTCGTGGTATGAGTGCGCCCAAGTCTTATTGGCACATGGTTGTTCTTACTGTTGTCTATCTCATTAATAGGACTCCTAGTTTTGTGTTACATGGCCTTACTCCATTCCATATTTGTTAGAATTTACCATCACCTACCACCAATTTACCATCACCTACCACCACCTACTCCTCACCTACTACACTCACCCTCTCCTATATAATGAGCCACTCACCATTTGTAATATATAAATCAATCAATAAATCAATCAATAATACATAAATTCTTACATGGTATCAGAGCAAGGTTGAGAACCTAGTAATTCCGCTTCACCGGCGGGCGGCAGCCTCGCCTTGGCCGCCTGCCGGACCTCTACACATACCTTCACTCCGCTGCCACAAATTCCATACTCTAGCCTCTCTGCATTCCTGAACCTTCTCTATCTTCAACCAATGTGGGTCTACCGCCAACTCCTCGCCAGAACCCTCCACCGCCGGTACTCCGCCAAGGAACGAAAGGTGGGTCGCGTCCCGAGCATTGTGTTCGAGCAAGAGGATGGTCAGCACGGAGGCAAGAACATGTCCGTGATCACCTTTTTTTAATCCACCTTCCACAAAGCATGAGATGGGGTGGAAATAAGACCGAACCTCATCGGACTCGCAATCAGACCGAACCTCAAGATCGAAGAGTCTAGAGAGAAAGAACGATCTTCCTAGATGGTTTACGGGCTTCTTGATCTGATTGGTATGGACAGAGAATCCAGAATCAGATTTTCGATTCTGTGGTTTTGAATCAATCTTCCAAATCGGTGCAATGGCATTTACTACCAAACAGATGTCTTTGTTTTACCCTTACAAAGGAAAGTCTATTCCACAGACTGCTTTGTTCAGAAGCACTAGCTTTCTTGTATTCTTCAATATTGCTTTGGGTACAGCTGGATTGGCAGCAGCGTTTCTGTTGTGGCCTACAATAACTGAGCAACTTCCCACTCTCCAACCATCTATCTTTTGCAGGGGCCTATCGCCAACCTACATTCTCTTTCTCTTAAATCCCATCATCATTTTATTTTATTTTATTTTATTTTAATCCTATCATCCTATTTTATCATCATCATTATGTCTCCATTACCCAACTTTCTTTCTTTTCTCATCCTCTTTTTATTATACTATATTACCCAAAAAACAACCACACAAGACCATAAAGCTGTGCAAGCCAACTTTCTTTATTTTATATATATATATATATATTACTCTTTTTATTATATTATATTAAAAAAAAAAAAAAAAAAACCCTTTACCAATTTGCACAACAAACCATATTTTATTCATCTCAGGGATCAACCCCGATCAGATCCACGACAGGATACTGCACATTTGTGTGGGGAAATTTGGTCACTTGGAAAAGCAAGAAACAAAATGTTGTAGCAAGGAGCAGCGCAGAAGCAGAATTCAGAGCTGTTGCTCAGGGAATATGCGAAGGATTATGGCTGCGGAGGATATTGGAAGAACTACATGCTGAATTAGAGTTACCTGTCAAGCTGTACTGTGATAATAAGGCAGCGATCAATATCTCACTCAACCCTGTCCAGCATGACAGAACCAAACATGTGGAAGTTGACAGACACTTCATTAAAGAAAAGGTGGAAGAAGGAACTATTTGCATGACATATGTCCCCACTAAAGAGCAGATTGCAGACACATTTACCAAAGGACTATCTCGGCAACTGTTTGAGGATTTCATTGGCAAGTTGGATATGATCAACATCTATGATCCAACTTGAGGGGGAGTGTGGAAATCCCTACAGTTTAGGAGTCATATGTAATCCCTATAATTAAGGAATGATTATTGACAGTCCTATTTTAGGTATCCTATTTTAGGTATGTACAGAAGGATGGTGCTGGTGGTCAATAGTGATTACCATGATTCTTGTATATTCCTTTATTGTAGAATTGTATTTCCTTAAGTTAGCTGCTGGTTACAGTTTATATAATAGGGCATATTGTACAATTCAAGGTATTGTATTGAAAATAAAGTAGTTTCCTCCAGCTTTCAGGCTTCACTCAAGTTCCTGGCAAGGATTTGGGTGTTACC